CATGAATTTTCTAATAACCTAAATAAATTACAGATAGACAAACATAAACTAACACAATTAAATCCTAAACCAAAATTCATTCATGCAAGACAAATAATTTTATATTTATTGAAGAGCCAGAAACATATTTTTTTTCAAAGAGCAAAAGTATTAACAATATTAAAGACAAATTTTATTTATAACAAAATTTTCAACAAAAATTAAATTAAGATAAATTTATAACAAAATGTTGTCATGGCTTTTATCCCAATAACCAAAACTAAGTGAAAGCATGAAACTACCCATAAATATATTTTAACGCTAGACACAATTTAAGAATTAAAGTAATCTATAACATGAAGCTTTAAATTTAAAATTGCAATTTAAAAAAGATTACAATAAATTAATTACTTTTAAATTTAAAAAAAAATTTAGATTACCTATAATTTTAAGCTACTAAACATTATCTACTTAATGTCAACTTAGACATTTTGAACTTGAACCATGAAAGGTTCAAGGGAAATCTGTAAGTAAGCACGCGGTAAAGAAAAGTCTAGAAACTACTTAAAAAGAATATTTTACAGATGCAGAACCGTACCGTAACTATAAAACAATACGCGTAACTATGCGCACTATTAATAATATTCATAGGCTATTCATTATAGGCGGATGAAATCAGAAATTCATTTTTATTTTAAACTAAATAAGTGTAATCATATGATTAGACTTATTTAGTTTAAAATAAAAATGAATTTCTGGGTTTCTTGTTTATTTAATTAAACGGAGCAACTGGTTCTAACATTTAAGTGTAACACTTATGTGAGAAATTATTATTTTTTTGTGAGAAATTATTTTAGTTATAATTTTTAAATGGAGATTATAACCAAAACGGTAAATAAAAATGCAAAAATAAAATTGCAAAAATAAAACAATAATTAAATAGATATGTGCATCAAAAAACAATGAAATAAGTTTTGCCTCTTACAGGCATTTATATTTAAACTATTTTTTGTAAAGATTTAAAGTGAATAGATCAATTTTCTGCAATTAATCTTAAACTAGACATGTTTACTAAAAAATTATTGTTAAAAACCCGGTTTGCATTGCAAAGTTTTTAATCAAATATTAGATCTAATAACTTTAAGTAATGATTTTTGATTTCTTTATTCAAAAGTTTCTATACCTATTAAATTTTGTAGACGAATGGTTAATGTTGTATAATGGTTAATAACATTTTAGTGTTGCTATAGACGTTGCTAAGAGAGCGGAGAATAAAAAAATTTTAACATTCTTAAACTTCAAAGTTATTACTCTTAAAATAATGAAATTGACTCCAAATTATTTATGATTATTACTAACGACATTATTAACTGCATTTGTGCCAAAAATCAAGTATTTCTGAGATGGTGGGTTATTTCGACTTGTTGTTTTGACATGGAATTACCCCGAAATAATTTTTGAAATAATATTAAGACGGACTGAAAGGAAGAAGAGGATGGGATTTAGCAAGTTTTCACTTAAATTTAAAATATAAGCTGAATATCCGCTGTTAATATTAGAAAAAACTGAGTTTTTTCAAAGTTATTTTAGACCGACTTATTCATCATAAAACTACAAAAATAAAAAATAAAAAAATAAATAAAAAAGGTTATATATCATTTTAAAGGATGCTAGAACGCAAATAAAATAATTTTTACCTAAAATAATTACAAAAACTTAACTTGTTCCTACAGCCAGGTAAACTTTTATTAAAGATTCTAGCAGATATTTTATGAAAGAATAATCATTTTAGTTTTCGTAAAACGTTTTACTGTGACATAATAGGTTAGTTTTACTGTGACATAAAAGCTAGTTCTACAGTAATGACTAAAATGTTTTCAATATTAAATTGTCATCTAAGTTTTGTTTTAAATAATTTAAGTATTTTCTTAACTATAATAAATAACAATGCATTAATTTGTATGGATTATGATTCTTCTTCTTCATTCTCTGGCATGACTACTCTCTAAGAGATTTTGCTGACATTACTAAACTTTGCCACCTATCTCTATCTATGAGTTATATTATATGAAAAAAATTGTTTTGAGTCTAATTGTTGATTATCATGTTTTTTAATGTTGAAACTAGACCCATAGTATCAGTACGTAACATAACACATACCAGAGTACGTATTTAACCTAATTAAATTAAATTGTACATGCTATTTATAGGTACCTTATAACATTTAATTATATTTATTTATGATTTTTTTTGGGTGGGGGGGGGGGGTGTTTATTTTTTGGGGGGCTAATCACCCTTCAGGCCACCTCTATTTGGGC